TGTTTGGAGGGGGGGCTGAGCACACGAAGGATTTTTAAAGCTTTCCCAGTGACTCAAATGAGCAATGAGGGCTGGAAGTACTGATGTAGTCATAGCCCCATGAAGAGACAGGACCAGGGAATATGAGACTTCCCTTAGATCACGCAGGGAGTTAGTGATATGGCAGAGCCCTCACACCAGGTTGCATTTTCTTCCGTGATGTCACGCTGTCACTAGGTTCTAGGGTAGAGCAGCAGAAATACTAGACACTGGTGTTATTAGAGTTGTGCATCCGGATCACTTGGGGAGCTCTTTTAAACTCACTTTCACCCCCCTTGCTCCACCTAGACCAATTGAATCAGAATCTCTTGGTGGAACCCCAGAACATAGATTTTGAAAAAGCCCTTGGTGGCAATTTTGACATGTATCTCAGTCTAAAAACACTAGCCCGATGGAAAGACCACCATCATTTTCTAATGTTTTTAAAGTTAGAAAGACTGGGGTTCGAATCTGGAGTCCATCAAATATTAACTGTGTTTCCTTGGATAAGTTATGTGACCTCTCTGAGCCTCAGTTTCTTCATCTGCAAATGGGACTACACAGCTAACTCACTCATTCTTCAATTTTGCAGTACAAAAGTCATTTCTCTTTGGAAGTCATGGCTGAGCTTTTAGATGAGGCCAGTCAGCCACCCTCCCAGGATATACTCTCACAGAGAACACCCTAAACTTCTCCTTTGTAACACTGATCGCAATTCATTGATGGAGTAGTAGGAGGCTTAACACATGGTTTTTGAATGAATGAATAAATAATTAATAATGATTAAATATATGTGTAATGGATTATTCACTCTCTGTCTCCACCACCAGTATTTAAGTTCAATGAGATAAGAAGTTGAGCTGTCTTGTTCACTGTTGCATCCAGAGTGCCTGTGTGAGGCTAGCACTCAATAAACTGTAGTTGAACAAACCAATGGCTGAATAAATGGCTGAACAAATAACTAATATATCTGAGGCACCTGGCGCATAGTAAACATGCAACAAATGTTAGCTGTTATAATAATTATCTTCAGATAGGCCCAGTGTCTTGCCCAAAGACACACAGCAGAGCTGAGACTTGAACTCAGTCCTCTGGACTGCCAGCCTTGTTTTTAATCCATCACATCCATCTGCCTTAAGGTTTTCATATGGGGGGAAGGAATCTAGGAAAAAGTGGCAGGCTGTCTTTGCCCACTAGAATGAGCTGGAAACCCATCTGGTTCTTGCACACTCCCAGCCTCCACTGGTGCAACCCATGTGTATACACACACATTTGCAGACAATAATGACTGTTGGTGTGGCGATCCTTGGTCTTCTCTTGAAAAAGCTTTGGATCTTAAACTCCTTGAGGGCAGTAACTGTGGTTTTGGCTCCCACCACAAGATAGACCCATAGGAACTCTACCATTTGCTAATGACAGCTTTGTGGCAGCCACACTGTCTTGATCCCAGCACCAGTCAAACCATACACACTATGGGGCCAAATACTTGTAATGATTTCCTGATTTCCCCATTGGCTATCATGCTGTCTGTGATTCAGGGGGAGTTGGTGACTGGATGAGCACAGAGAGGAGGTGGAATTCACATTATTGACTACTTAAGCACACACTGGGAAGGGAGTTCCAAATAAGACTAGGGGTAGGTGTTTCTGGGAATGACTCTGGATGATCCCTTGTCTCTGTCTACACTAGCATGGAAATCAAGAGCTTTCCAGATTTTCATTTTAATAGCTTTCATTTAGTGAGAAGTTACTGCGCTCCAGATGCTATGCCAAGTGCTTTGTAGACATAATCCCACATAATTCTCTTAACTCGGAGGGGTTGAAATCATCAGTGTCAGTATCTTACAGAGGAGAAAACTGAGGCTGAGAGTAATGTGCTAAAGATCACAAACACCAGTACGAGCCAAGACCAGCACTGGAAGCAGGCCTAACTGATGATTCCAGGGCCTCCTGGAATCAATTCATTTAACAAATATTTATTGAGCACAACTCTATGCCATGTTGTTTTCTCATTGCAAAGAATATATTCCAGACAAAGGTCCATGTCCTTGTGGGACTTAGGTTCTGTCAGGAGGAGACACACCATAAATAATAAATCTAAACACTACATAAATTATGTAGTCTGTTAGAAAGTGATGTGCTATGGGAAAAAGTAGGGCAGTGCAGAAACGATGGGGAGTGGGTTGGAGAGGTGTGTGTGTCGGGGATGGAGAGCTATGATACAGGTTTGCAATTTTACATAGGGTGAGCAGGACAGGCCTCAGTGATAAAGTCACATTTGAGACATGGAAAGACTTTAAAAAGGTCCAAATGATGCTGTGTTCATTCTGCCACTAACATACAACTATTACAGATTAAGCACCTGCTATGTCTCAGGTGCTATGCTAAGCACTTTATCCACATTTCTCGTTGAATCCTCTCAATGACCCTAAAGAATAATATCATCTCCATTTTTCAGATGGGGAAATTGAAACTCAAAAAGGATAAAACATATTGTCCCCAAGCTATTCAGTTAGTAAGTGATGGGGCTGGGATTTCAACTCAGCTCCCCCAACTCCAAAGGCCCTGTTCTTTTGACCACCATGATGCTGAGGAAGAGTGTGGGCGGCAGGGGGCTGTGAGCAGGGAGGCGCAGCATTGAGCCCATCTGACTTGAGAAAGTCACCCTGCCTCCGTCCCCTTAGGGGCAAGGCTGTTCTGAGGCTGAGTGCTCTCTTGGTGGTGCTAGGTGTTCACAGCTGTAGGTGGCATGGTTGACCTGCAGAGCTCTCTCCATGTGGCATCTCCCTCGTATGTCCTCATGTTTTTTCCACATGGTTTTGAAATCTATTTCTCTAGTAATTAGAGCAGACAGATGTGGAGAAGCCGTTCCTGAAGAGCTATAGCATTTGCAAATGTCAGAAAATGCATGGTTTCTGAAAGCTCACCAGGAGGGCTGCCCTTTCACCGAGGAACAGTGGCACCCCAGGCACGAGGGGACAGAGGCTAAACGTCTTTCTAGGGTGCCTTTGAAGGAACTGTTCATAAACTTGATGGAGTCTTGTTCTTGACTTGGCAAGTGTGGCTCTCATGAATGACCTCCTTCGTGTCTGATCTTATTTGCTCACCATGCAATTTCTCCTTCCCATGCAGATTAGGAGCCCAGCGGTCTAAGAGGACTTTACTTGTGGAATGCAGATCTGTACATCGTAGGATGTACAGATCTTTCTCAACTTAGGATGGGGTTATGTCTGGAGAAACCCATCATAAATTCAAAAAGTTCAAAATATCCTAAGTCGAAAATGCATTTAATACACCTAACATACTGAACATCATGGCTTCACCTAGCCTACCTGAAATGTGCTCAGAACACTTACATTAGCCTATAGTTGGGCAAAATCATCTAGCACAAAGCCTATTTTATAATAAAGTGTTGAATATCATGTAATTTGTTGAATACTGGAATGGAAGTGAAAAACAGAATGGCTGTGTGGGTACAGAATGGTTGTGAGTGGATCGGTTGTTTGCCTTCGTGATCGCCTGGCTGACTGGGAGCTGCGGCTGCTGCCGCTGCCCAGCTTAAGGAGAGAGTGTCGTACCGCATATCGCTAGCCCAGGGAAAGATCAAAATTCAAAATTTGAATTACGGTTTCTACCGAATGCGTATTGCTTTTGCACCATTGTAAAGCTGAAAAATCGTAAGTCGAACCATCATAAGTTGGGGACTGTCTGTATTCTGTCTCCCTCCAGCCTCATGAGGATAGCAGTGCAGTCGTCAAATGACATCCACTTGCAAGTCTGTGAGTGAAAGAGGTGGGTCCCTTGAGTGCCTTTGGTCACTCGATAACAAACCTTCCGAAACAGCGAGGCCTGAATGTGAACTGACCGATGTGTGAGTGCTTTGAAAAGTTAGGAGCACCATAGAAGTACACTTTGGAGATAATGAGGAAGAGAAGAAGAAGAGAAGGATGCTAGAATCCTCTCTTTCTCGGCAACCCAGAGTTTCACAGCCTTGGTCCATGCTTTGGCCCCAAGCCAACCCCCAAAACATAGATTCTGTCCTTTGCACCCACTGTACACACAGATATTGAATATTTATATATAACAATGACCGTTAATATTTGTTAGTGCATTTTTATGTTTTGAAAGCGCTGCTCGTGGGCATTGACTTGTTTAATCTCATTCAAGTGGCAAAACAACCCATTTAATGGGATGTGGTGATATAAATCTCTTTTTGCAAATGAGGAAACTGAGGGAACAGACTTTCAGTGACTTTCCAAGGTCAGAGCCGATGAGTGATGCGAGTGTAACTCAAGCCCAGGTGTCCTGAGTCAAACTCTCATGGTTTCTCCCCAGCAAGGAAATGATGTTTGGTACTGGATTCATTCAGAACAAGAACAGCATATTCACACTCTACCTGTCTCTCTCTTCTTACTCAGGGTCGCCATTGTTCTCTCTTCTCTCTCTCTCTCTCAACTTGGATTTAAGTTTACTCAGGGTGTGCAGAAAAGCTTCATTATAAGGTGATGTCACCTACAACGTGATCCTGTGGCAGAGACCCCAAGAGGGGCAATGTAATGAGACCTTAGTAAATTACTCTGGAGCCCTGAGCTGGCTGCATGCCCTGGTGCCTCACAGCAGGTAAATTCTCATTAGGAGCAGCATCTAGGATGACATCCCATGACAGAGTAGGCTCACACAGAGGGAGAGATGATCCAGGTCACGCAGAGTCAAGGCCAAACCCCTAGTCCCTCAGGACCCTTCCTGGTGACTCCTTTACATTCATCACACTTTGATGCATTTGCCTGCCCAATGTCTGTGTCCCCTCTTGACTGAGCTATATAGGGCAGGGACTGTGTCTGCCTTGTTAACCGCTGTCTCCTTGGTCCATAGCACACTGTCAGGCAGTGGGTAAGCCCTCACAAATATGTGGGGAATAAATAAATGAATGGATAAATGAAGGGTTGATAGAATAACAATAGTTTAATATGTCCTTCTCCTCAGGAACGCTTGCATTTTGAAAGAAGATTCCAATCAAGGATGCGTCTTGACCTCATTAGATTTTTCACGTGGAAGGAATTTCACATGGAAGGCCCACACTGGAGTGAGTGTGATGATAAGTGCATCTTTCTCAAAGAGTATCCAGCAGATGCTTTGGCACTAAATCAGTCTCATTCCCCAAACCAAGAGTGGTGGGACCTCAAAGAACAGGAACTTTGGGGAAGCTGAAAAAAAAAGGCAGCTGGGGTTTGGCTTCCTTCCACCCAAACGTCCTCTCCGTGAGCCTCTGCTTATTCTGTCCTGAACACGAGGCAAACGTGTAGAGGTCCCAAATCACAGCCTAGAAGGCCAGGTTCTCGTGGCACAATAAAATCTCCACCAACTGCTGGCCTTGCTGGGTCTGTCTGTTATTGGAATTAAGTCCCCCTTTTCATTTTATTCAAACTGAAGAAATTTTCTGGCAGGGTGTCAGGTTTCAAACAGAAATGTCAGCCAAGGGTGCACAAGTCCGGGGTCTGAGCAAATTTGAACCAATTTATGCTTTGGGTAAAAATTCATATGGAATCGAGTGGTCTGGTCGGTCCATTTGTTAAATGATCCTCATTTGCATATCCTGAACTAAAAACCTGCAAGGAGCTGTGTATAAAATCAGCATCAGAGGCCAATGTGACTTCTTCACTCCAAAGTGAGTGTACATCTGGAGATGAGCCGTGAAGCATACTGTAGTGATTTTCTTCCCCAACATAAGAGCAGAAAAGAACTTGAACATGTTGTAAGATCGAATTCAAACCTCGATTTATGACCCAATCAAAACTATTGATAATAATGATAATAACCTTTATTGAATATTTAATTGAAATATTGAATATGCCAAGCTCTGTGCTATGCCCCTTAGATTTATTGATCACTTAATCCTCTTGATGATTGCATGAGGTAGGTTTTATTATTTGATAGAAAATGAAACAGAGGAACAGAGGTTCGGGAATGTGCCCCAGCTTGCAAGCCAGCAAAGACTAGGATTGAAAGCAGGACAATTCACCTTCAAAACCTCTGCCCTGATGTTGGTCAAGGACTGATAATGAATCCAATATGCAGGAATATAAACAAGATGCTCTTTGCAGTTTAGTTGGAATTTCATACTCCATACAGCATTTCTCAGAACTCAGACTCTATTCTATGGCAAAGATAGGTAAGCTGCATAGTACAACTTGGTTTTTTCCTTCACGTTACTGGTATAAAGAGAGAGCACTAGGATAATTAACTGGAAAATGCAGTCTCCAAATGCTTTTGCTTTGTACCAATACACTGGACAGGTCAAGATTCCCCCCATCCCCTGGGATGCTGAAGAAATTTCTAAATCAATTCTTTGTACTCTTAGCATTTGAGTGGGGATACAACCAGCGATTGTCTAGGATTCCTACAGCTGTGAAGATTAGAATAAAGAACAACATGGCTGTAGAAGATGCCCTGATGGGGGTTTGGCAGGCTTCACCCACCCACTACATGATTCACTCCTACATACTTGCTCTTTGCAGCAGGCTTGAATCAAATCTGAACCTAATCAACAAATATGTAAAAAGATGCCCAACTCCAGCAATATGGATGGGAATGAAAACTAAATGATATTTTTCACATATCATTTCAGCAAAAAATTCTAAGTTTGATAATATCAATCATAGGGAAGGTGAGGGAAGCAGGTACTTTCTGCTGATGAAAGTGTGAATTGGAATGACCATTTTGGAAGGCATTTTGGAAATATTAAAAACATATATCACCTGTGAGCCAGCAAGTCTCTTTCTTGGTACCTACCACCAGGAAACACTTATACACATTCATGAGAATATTCATCGCAGCATCATTTGTGGTATCAAAAAGTTAGAGGTAACTAAAATATAATACATTCATACTATGGAATGTTAAACAGCTTATAAAAAGGTAGATCTCTATGTACTGACAATAAAAAATCCTTGAGACATATTGTTAATTTAAAAAATCCACACAGCATGATATCATCCAATTATATAAACATACACACACAAAACCAAAGTATAGAAAAAAGGAATGGAAAAATATACATCAAACTCAGAGATGAGATTACCTCTGGGGAAGCTCCAGAGATGGGGAGCAACAGCCACAGGGACCATCCATCATTCATTCATTCAACAAATATTGTTTAGCACCTTCCAGGCCAGACACTGATGCTGTTTTATGACCAACAAAACAGACAAAATCCTTGTGACCATGACACCAACATCCAGCATTATTGTTTTGTTAGGTGTGTTTATAGAACAAGGATATATTTATATATTACTTTTGTAATTAAAAAGAAGTAAAACTAAAAGGAAATTTTTAAAAAATCACATTTTTATATTAACAAAATATCAAGTGACTGTTTATTTTGGCTTTTGAGAGTGCTTGCAGATAGTCCCAAACCATAAATGTTGTATTGATGACTGCCACGTGGCTACTATAATTCCTCAGATAATCAGTCCCCTTTGGATGGTTGGCACAGACGGGTGCAGTGACAATCTCTCATAGCACAAAGACTTGTGCACAGTTGGTTCATTCATTCTATTAACATTTTTTGGAGCATCATTAGGCAAAAAGTGTGAGTAAACCCCAATTTGATTATTCATATATTCACCAAAAGACACGTATATGAATGGTCTTCACAGCACTATTCATAATAACCAAAACCTGGAAACTACCTAAATGTCTATCAGCAGTTGAAAAGACAAATAATGTATTATATTCACACAAAAGAGTACAATACAGCAATGAAAATCAATGTATTAAAACTATATGCAACAACGTGGATGAATCTCACCAACGTAGTGTTGAATGAAGGATGCCTGGCACAAGAGTAACACATTATATAATTCCATTTTTATGACATCAATAACAGCAGAGATAACACATGATGCTAGAAGATGGGACGGTGGTTACCCTTGGGAGGGAGCAGTAGCTAGGGTACATTATGGAGGCTTTGGGGCATGCCACAGATGTTCAGCTTTTTGCTCTAGGTGCTGGTTATATGGATGCGCTTAGCTTATGTAAATTTGTTGAGTTTTACAGTGATGATTTGTGACATTTTTGTAGATATATTCTACTTCCATCAAAAGTTTACAAAAAACAAAATTAAAACATAAAACCCTGAAATCTAGTCCGTGTTGTTTGAATCTCATCTCGGCAAGTCACATGCCTTCTCCGGGCTTCAGTTTTAGCATCTGTAAAATGGGAGATGGATTTGCCAGCTGATCTGTAAGGGCCCTTCCAGCTTCATGGTTCTGTGTATAATGTCTTCCTTCCAACAAACCATTTCTAAAGCTATGAAAAAAAATAGAGAATGAGCCTTAGGTCATTGAGTTTGCTGTTAGAATGTGTAGAAGGCTTACAATGTCACATGTGTCTCATTTTTGAGCATTTGTTGTAAATTAAAGACACAATCAATGAACAAGGGAAATTCTGTCTTCCAGAAAAATGCACGTAGTTAATTCTTTCCCAAAGTGCTCACAGGACGTGTGAATACGCCAAATGCTGCTTCTGCCAAGCTTCTTCCTGTCATGCCAGTTCATATACCTGCCGTGGGAGAGTCAGCAATTGCAGAGGTGGGGCTGTTCCTGGTAGGAAGGAGGCAGCTACTGTGCTCACTACTGAGCACTGTTTGAATAGGCACTTCCTCCCCGAGGGGAGTTGGTTCATAATTTTCCTCTACCGCTACTGGAAGTCCTTGAATGGCAACATCACAGCTTGTACCCATTCACAACAGGAAAGTTGGACATCCGCAGACAATCTTGGCACGAGAATCCAGTCCTGTGTGTCAGCTTCTATATTAGAACCAGGAAAATAATTTCTATAGTGTAGACCATGCTGTAATCTTCACGCAAGGTGTTGGGCTCCAGGCAGGGAACCTTTTCCTATATATCCAAGCCTCACTGACATTTGCAAGGCAGCGACCCCCAAGGAAGGCAACACTTTAAGGCAATGAACAGACACGTTGTGTTAACTCTATTTAACCCCAAGGAAAGGTGCTTTGGGAGGTGGAGACAACCTCTAGTGAGTAAGCTCGTTGTAGGGGTGTTATCCTGACTGTTTAGGAGAGCTCGGCCTCATGTGAAGGGTTGGTTCTCACAGGAATGCTGAAGTGAGCAGCTGAAAATAGACAGTGACAAAATCTGGTAGGAGTCTTAAGTCGTCTCGATTGCTTCTTCTCAAATGATTGGACGTGAATGACCAGTTTTGTTGCTTTATTTCATTTTATTTGGTTATTTCTAATCATACACCAGTCAATATATTTTTAAAAATATAATAAAAACGAATGACTAAAAATGGAATAAAGAGGCAAAATACAAGCCCCAATTTTTGATTATTAGTTTCAACAGACATTATTCTGTCAAGTGCCTATAAAAGTTCATAAATGCTTCTTCTTGATCTGGGTGCTGGTCAAATAGGTGTGTTTAGTTTACGAACATTTGTTGCGCTGCATGCAGTGTGGGCACATATATTCATTGTGAACCGGTGGCAGTCTGTGGATTTTAGGAGCGCTGCTTGCTGGAGGCTCTCTCACTCTCCCAAGAGCACACTTCTTTGGGAATAAATCGAGTTAACACAATGTCCAAAATAGAGGAAAGGACCGGGGAACAGGATATTGTGATAAAGATGGAGACTCAAGATAAGAGGATGGAAGAACAGCTAAAATGTAGATTTCTCTCAGAAATCAAGATTTTAATGATGAAGCAATTTTTGGTGATGGTGGGAGGAACCTGCTGTTTTCATAGAGGTAAAATCGAGGGATATCAGTAAATAACCAGATTAGTTATATAGAAGGAGGCAGGAGATCTCTGCTCATTGTGTTCAGCCAGTCCAGATGCTAATCAACAAATATGGACCACATGAGATATTAAAGTTCTCGTTCAGGTCAGCCTGGGGACACAGGGCAGGTAAAGCGTCACTTCTTTCCACTCATTTCCTATGCAAAAGTTGCAGATGGAAAACCGATTTTTACAAAATCAATTTTCCTGTTTCATCCAATACCAAATATAAGCATTCATGTCGATATAATCACAGTTAATGATTCTTGAAAGCAAATTTGGAATTAGGGGCA